ACTTAAATCCGAATCGATCATAGCTTAAATAGCGCGATGGCTCCAAAACGTAACGTTTGTACAATATATTGTCTCTTAAGAGTGACGTCGACCGGTTTCACAAACGTTATCGCGAATCGACACACACCGGAGGGGCTTCTTCGAGAGACGTTATAAATAATTCCAGACGAGAGTGTCGTCGTATAATCGTAGACGTTATCTGTATCATCGTTGACGGTTATGGCGTCATTCATTTCGCGCACATAGATATTCTCTTCCGCCTCGAGAAATCTGCTCCACGATTTGAGGCGTCATCATCGTCATTGTCGTAGAAGACAGACAGAATGATTTATAACCGTGACATTAGTCTAAACTTAAGTTTGTTACCGGAGAAAAAAAATGAGTGGAATAATTATATTAGTATTTCTTAAGCTCTTAGAATATCTCCAATATTAAAAATCCTGGTAATTAAGTCAGCAATAATTTTGACATATTTCTTTCGTAAGGTTTTGCGTATTGAACAACTTTTTAATGCAAAATTATTATTTATGACTTATTCGTTTTGCTTTTCTGTCGCTGGACTTTTAGCGTCAGCGATAAGTCGATCTTCTTATATGAGATTATCCATTCTCCAAGAATAATGCGCAAAAATAAAGAATTAGACGCTGTATGCGTATATATGCATGCAGGCATTCCAGCGGTATTAATATAATCTGGTTATTTATAGTCCACAGCTTTGTATTTGCGACTTATAGTTCTATTTTCGCAATAGTATTACCTACTAATCTTCCAGTTTGAACGCGGCTGCGAATATCCTATTTTATCCTCTCTATGATATGTTCCTTTCATCAGTCTTTTATTCGCATTTTTTTTCTTCCCGTATTATTTTTCCTTGTCGCGCAATATCAATAATGCGCAAAATTTGAAGTTCGTCGAAGTCTTGACGCCGCGTCTCGTGAGATGATTGCGTTACCTCCGCGATTTAACTCACTGAGTCATCGTCATCAGATCTTAACTCAAACCGTCACACATCAGATCGTCATTCAAATGACGCGCAACTATGTTTCCAACAACGACTTGGTTTCCAAAATTACCGCATCTAGAGATGACCAGCGGTTCTCAGCTATTTCCAAATTGCCCATGGCCAATAAAATTCGTGCCAATTTCATAGTCCCTGTAAATAAATCTTATGTGAACTCCGAATGAAAAGAGATATTTTTTTTCATTTATAATAACAATTTTTTATGAACGAATTTTTCTCGTAAACATAAATATTTTCCTAGCGATTAATCTTCTTTTTTTTTATCTGTACAAGAAACTTCGACAAGATATAAGATAACTGCAAAATCATCTGTTTACATAGACACATCCCAGTTACATGTAATTTGTTCAACGAAAAAAAAAAACGATAACTGCTCGAGATTAATAATTTTGCGAAAACAGTCAATAATAAGAATCATAAATACAACGTGAATCACGAATAACTCCAAAAGGGAAGCACGCGATGTATACGAAAAAATAAATAAAACACAAAAAAGAAAACGTTTGTACTAAAAATAAACGTTTATTAGTAATTCATATATACATATACATTGTTACGAAACAAATTGTCCAAACAGTGCATCATTAATATTGATTCTTCAAAACGTTATGCGGGTGTTAAAAACCGTGATTTTATATTGCATATACTCGTATTATGGCATTTATTAATACAAATATATATAAGTATGAATTACTATTCATATTTGAACAACTAATTGTGAAACTAATATTGTTTTATTATAGTTTAAAGAATATATATAATATTAGTTTGAAGAAATCATCGACATAACATGTTGCGCACTATCCGGACAATTAGTTTCGTAACTGTCGTATTATACACGATTTTATACTTGTTAATAAGTGCTCAAGGCCTCCGCTTAGATTTTCATGAAATAGTCCGCAATTCTGAGAAAGTTCCCGGAAAACGCAAATCATATGGATATAATGCTTTCGTCGTATCGAGTCGCGCAAATGTATACGCGATAAACTTATCGGTGTAGTTCTCATAGTTTGGCATTATCCTTACCTCACGTTATCGAGGTAGATTCCAGCGGGTCGCTTAATCCACTTCCGTTCGATTGCCATTATTGAAACGATCGTGGACGGTCTTGGTTTGCGTTTTTGTGCGTCACGCCAATTCGACATTCGACTGTAGGCGTTATCGATTATCGACGCGTCTCGAGGAATGCCGAGAATTCGCACAGGATGACTGAATTTTTATCAACGTTATGATATCACGAATCCATTAACGAGAATCCAGAACACGCGCAACGCAATGCCATATGACGGTTGTTCCCTGGAGGGTTAATAAATGCAAATGTAAATCGATCGGTTTGTTCGCGACGTAGTAGTACTAGGTGGCGACGACGCGAGATATCGATCCGATGCCGTGTATACTTTTAATATGACCCGCGACAAAATGCGAATCGATAGCGTGATATTTGCGAGTAATATCTCCGAGAGACCGATTGTATTTAATTTTTTCTGATGGAATCAACTACCCTACTGATATATATAGGGTGTCTGATAATTGTTCTGACGGAGTTCGTGGACATATAAAACGGACTAAACTGAGACGGAAAGTCCTCTACCATTTTGCAATTTTCGCAATAGTTAACAAGATATTAATTAATTGCTAAAAATTGCCGAAAATCGGTCTTCAATAATTTTTTACTCAAATACTATCAACTTTACAGAAAAATTGCGAGAGATGAAAATTGTTTATTTTTTTCTCATAGAGCTCTAAGAATTTTTTTAGAATTTTTTTTAGAATTTTTTAATACCGTATTTTCTCATGTTGATAAAAAATGAGAAAATGCAGTAATGAAAAGTTGATAAAAAAATTATCAGACACCCTATATGTATGTGTGTGTGTGTGTGTGTGTGTGTGTGTGTGTGTGTGTGTGTGTGTG